ACCTCTAATTAACCACAATTCTCAAAAGCTAGACTAGACCCTTTCTATAATCTATTAGAAGGGGAAAAATACCATTGTACCCCTTCAATGGTCCAAATGTCCAAATATTGACCAAACCCTAAAAGTCAACAGAGGGCAGTACGCAGCGTGTACCAGCTCTTGTACGCGGGGCGTACTCCGACAATCCAGAATCGAGGTCTCAAACCCTAACGCGACGCGTTCTGAGATTTACGCCTAGCGTAAGTCTCAGTTTCATGCTCTTATTGATTTTTGGTCTTAAACAGTTAAGACATAAGCTCAAATTCCAGATCTGACTATTCTAAGGCCACTTAATCCATAAAGTCGAAACCTTTAAGCCTTTGCATGGCTGTAAAGGTCTCCAATCACTCTAAACACCTTTCCTCTTTCCTCATTAAGCCTATATCTCATGCTTGACTTAATATTCATGTCCAAGATTGGGTTTTTATGAACCTATAACACATATTACACTGGAATAGGGCAGATCTAAGCTTATGGAGACCCTTTGCTCATAAAGTCTCCACCTTGAAACCAAAAACCCTAAAAATGGGTCCATAAAGCACAAATCAACAATGACAAGGAAAGCTTTGAGCTTTTTACCTCCAAATAAAGCTTCAACCTCTATAGAACTCGGATCTAAGCTTGTCCTCCAATATCTAGCTCCCACAATGGCCTCCTCTTATCCTTCACCACCACAAAATGGCACTTTCAAGCTTAAGAACACACACAAGCTTATAACGGGTTTTTACTCTCTTAAGGTTTCACTCACTGTAATATGATGGCTAGGGTAAGGGCCTTATCATTCCTTTTATATTCCTCAAGTCTCATTTAGGGTTTTGCATCTGAGCCAGTTACGCCCAGCGTACCTAATTGAGTCTGCGTCCAATATAAGCGCATGAGTACGCGTAGCGTACTCTTCAGTACGTCCAATATAATCAAATACATCCCTTCTACTAATTAACTTTTACAATATATATAATCTATTTTTTTTCATTACAATAATATTAAATAAATAAGACTATAATTATAACATACTTGTAAAATACGTTATTGTTTTTCAAAATTTGAATATATATTTAAATTTGTATAAGAATTTGATAAACAAAAAATAAAGTTTATAGTTATAATTAATTAATATAATCTAAGCTATAACAAAATATTATAAATATTAAATATTACTCTTAAATTATAACTAATAAACTAAAAATATTCAAATATATAGAAAAAGTGGTTAAAACCTACAACTAAAAGTTCAGAAAGTAATAATATTAGTAAATTACTCCATATTTTTGTATAATATGATTTATATCCCAAAAAATAGGAAATAAATATGATAGAGTTCAAGAAGAATAAAAGAAAAAATAAGGAAAAAAAAAGGGAAATGAGATTTGAGTGGAAGATGCTTTTAAGGAATTAAGTTTAACAGTTAAAATGCATAGCAATAAGTACACTATGAGTTGTAAAGTCAATTTGATTTTCATGTGGTAATGAAGTTGTTAATCCACCATATATAGTGCAATATTATAAAATAATATGTGAGATGGTATACTTGTATCCATTGGCACATATTGTTAATTTTAATCGTTGAAACTGTGAAAGCAGATAAGCAATATATATTTTAGTATTTTACGTGCATCTTGTGTGTTCAGAAACAACCAATGCAATAATTTTTGAAGTATAAAATCCAATACTCTTTAATATCTTAAGACTTAAAATAATTGATAATTGTTTATATAGTTTTTAAGTGGAAAAATCATTAATTATAGTGAACAGTTGGAAAATGGGTGTCATATTTTAATTTGGATTATTTAAAGATGAGTAAAGAAATATCAAATCTGGCTCAAATTTAAAATCGGGTATGCTGCCAACAGCCGAGCTTTGACTAGATTCACATGACCTATTTCTTGATTTTGACTCGATTCCAACTTTTTCCCCCCTTTTTGTTAACTAACTACATCCAAGTGTTATTTAGCGGAAATTCTAAAATGCATTACACCGATATAATTAGTTTAAAATTGAGAGATGATATATATCATGATTATTATTAACATAAAAATATAGTTCGGATACAACGATTAAATGTTTAGATACAGCTTGGAATTACGTTAAATGCATGAAAATAATTATATAAGAAATATTTTTTTCTTTTCGTGACTTAAATGTTCTATAATCAATTATAAAGTTTTATAATTGTGAATTTAGTTTACATTTGTTAGCTTACTAGATTATGACCCGCGTTAAACGCGAAGAGCATATAAAAAACATAGAATTATAAACATATATTACATCATAGGAAGCATGACAATTAAAAGTACATTACCATAGCTATTTTAAATTCATTAACATACATTACAATAATTATTTAAACATCATAACAATTAAAAGGATAAATAAAAAAAAACTAATAAATCATAGAGTAATATAAAATATTTAAATAGTTCATTACAAAAAACAACTATGTTCGAATGCAGATTAACATATATATAATCACTAATATCTACTTTGCATAGTCACTTTATCAAAATCAGAACGGACTGAAAAAATTTATTGAGAAGGATGTGTCGGAACCACATACTTAATCGTATTTCCTTTAAAGAAATATAGGGTATTGTTTATATAATCACACCATTCATGTGCACATTCATTGTAGTTACTAACATCTACTTTAACCCGCCGATTTTGAATGAAAACCCAAATAGCCCACAAATGATCTCCACTTACAAAGAAATATCCTAATTTTCCGTGAAACTTGATCAATCTCGATGCATACAGTTTGAAGTCATTAATAATTAAAGGTGCAAATATGAGTATATGTTCTTCTGACTAAATATCAAATCGCAATATGGTATCATTAGATAATAAGAAGTAAACCACATTGCCACTTGTAACCGCCTCATCAGAAACAGGATAATCAGATGATGGTAACTGGATATTTTAAAACTCCTTCATTCCCATGTAGTAGATGAAAACAATTCTATGTTGTAGTAATTGTATTCCACTTTTTCCTTAAGCATATCACTACAAATAAAATAACATATAAGTAAATAATAAAGTAAATTAATAACATAAAATATACTACATATAAACTCTTACGATGGCTTTGTGTATGACAATCGAATGACCTTGAAATGTAACGGGTTCGAACTGATAACTACCAAAGCAAACTTTGTCGCAGTGTATTCAGAGGTCGGAAAAGGTATCCATTTGAAATTTGTAGTCGTTGGTTTGATAACGGATAAAATCTTTGAAACGTATTCATTTAGATCATAGGATTCAACAAGAAGGAGTCTGCACAATGATGATGCTAAAATAGTACAAGTATGTGGTAGCCAATCAATGTCAAGATTGTTGCTAGCAGAAGACGGAAGAAACTTTCGTTCTATATTTCTCCATGGTTTTTTTGTTGAACAATCATTCCACAAACCACATTATTTATACGGTTGTAGTTATGAAGAACATGGTTGTTGTATGTTAGATTTCCATAATATTTATTTGTGCAACGTATAGTATCAAATGTTTGTAATGATGTTCATGAAAGAATTTCAGTAATTAGTTTAGAAATCAATAACGGTAACTGCAAAAGAAAGAAATAATAAGATAATAATATTAGAAAAACTTAAAATTTAATCTTTCATGACATACAAATTGAAATGATAATAAGTATATTGTTTGTAGTATTGACGGTAAAGAATTTTACCCGATCCATTTTCAATATTTTTTCCAATTCATCGATGATTGTATTGTTAGACGTGATCCTTGAGATAACATAACCTTCTGTTTTGTTCTTCAAATTATCATGTGTAGTTTGAATTTTGAACGCCATTTTTTTTCCAATAGTATATTTCAGAGCAGATGGATAAATTTCGTTATTATCATCCTAAAAAAAAACGTTTATAAAAATAGATATACAAATTAATAAATCTCTTTTATGTAAATGAAGTCAATATATATAACCTCATAAAACTGATGAAATGACTCTTGTGCGTTTTTTTTATAAGCTTCTTTGCATCAGATCATATAAAGTAATTGACACTGAACCGGTAATATCTTTAACTATAATGGTGATTTTCAAACTGAAAGCATTGATCTAAACAAATTTAGTAATATAAATTTATATAATTTAAAATAACAATATAATAATATTTATAAAATGAGTTTCAGTATGTGTGATAGTTTTAGGTGCTTGGTTATATATCTATATATATATATAGTGATGTTGATGATTTTTAAGACTTTAAATAAGGGAACTTGATACTACAAGGTTTTAAATTAGGTAAAAAGTAAATTTTGTATATAATTAAATAAAGGAATTAGATATTAGTTGGATTTAAATTAGGTAAAAAATAAAGTCTGCATATAATTATGGTGGGAATAAATGCTGTATAAAAAAATAGATTTTGAATACTTATTCTATGATTTTATTCTGTTACCATATGTAAACGATGTATATTAGAAGGTCTTAAATTAGGTAAAAAAAATAAATTTTGTATATAATTAAATAAATGAATTGAATATTAGTTGGGTTTAAATTAGGTAAAAAATAAAGTCTGCATATAATTATGCATTTAATTATGGAGGGAATATATGCAGTGCCTAAAAATAGATTTTGAATACTTCCTTAATGATTTTATTCTGTTACCATATGCAAACGATGTATATTAGAAGGTTTTAAATTAGGTAAAAATAAAATTGTATATAATTAAATAAACGAATTGATTATTAGTTGGGTTTAAATTAAGTAAAAAAAATAAAGACTGCATATAATTATACATATAATAAATTTATAAAATACGTGATGAACAAAAGAAAAAGAAACAAAATATTCATTAAATCAAAACAGTTCAATAACTTGAAATTGTAATAAATAACACGAATATCATCGTGTTCAGACCAAATAACAACCCAATAAAATTTTAAAAACAATCAATAGATCCATAAACAGACAATTAAAAGTGACAAAAAATATTAAAAAGAAAATGTCTCTAAACATATTGAAGATGAAATGTAAAATGTTGCTGGTTGGCTTCATATTCGTCAAACTTTTCCAACTTTGGTATCTTTAAGTTAGCAGGAATAACACCATTTTTTGAAGAAGACCACTCCAAAGAATAAGTGTTAGCATCATTACTTATTGGGCGCTTCCCCGTACTGGATGACAGTGTTAAAGCTTCAAGGCCAACAATATCAAGATTGTCATCATGCACATAATCAGTAGTATCCTGTAGAAAATACATAAAACAATAAAAATCCGATCAAAGTAAAATATAAAAAAAAAAACATAAAATATTTGCACAAATTCATGAAGATGAAATAAAAATATAATGAAAAGAGGGCATAAGGTTTGAATTTGGAAATATATGTGAGACAGTTCCCACCTTATTTGGCTTGTTAATAGGAGTATCATTATCATTTAGAATATAGTGTTCATGATTTGGTGACCGTTTAAAAACCTCAACAAGAACCATTTCATCATCAGTCAACTTCTGCACGTGTAAACATGATAGTTGTTTTTTTAGATTGAACATGGATATCTGAACTTTAAAGATAAACTTCTTATTTATAAGGATTTTGAATTCATCAGGTATCTGTTGGCGTCCTTGATCCTAATTTGCATTACAACGAAATAGTTGAAAAGTTAATGAAGAAAAATCATATGTCAATTATTTAAATAATGGAGATATACTATCAAACCTTAGCTATTTTTTCCATCAACCATTGGTTTCCACGATGAATATGATCTTTTACATGACATTCAAACAATACGAACAAAGAAGAACCAGTTTCATCTTGCACACGAACTACTATCATAACTTTAAAAGTTATAACGTAATACTTATATTTAGCTTGACATACCCAATGAAATATATGAAAAAAGTTAAATGCATGCATAGTTGAAGAGCTAATAATTACTTATTTTCCACTACATCCAAGACTATTCCACAACTATCACAGTGAAAATGGTCAGCATCAACATCAACATCATTTTTAGTAACTTTTTTAGAACAATCACAACAATAAAATGAATACCAGCCTTCATCCATATCAAAATTGATGATAGTAGCAATGATGATTAAACCAACTTCCTGGTTCATACATTGTTTGAAAGGAATCATATTAAAATTCTATTTCATATGAATGGTACATAGAAAATCAAAACAATAATAGAAAGTAGAAATTCTTATATAAAAATGTTAACTAAACATCGTTCAAATCAGGGATCTCATTAATGTTTTTTATTTGAAAATAGAGGTAGTAATTCTCTGGATTGGCCACAACAGTATTGAGTTCAACTACGATGAACGACTAGAAGACTTAACATTCATATCCAAAGCATTAAGACTACATATAAAAAAAATGAGGTTAAAAAACAAAAGTATAAATTTAGTAAGTTAAATCTCTTAAGTATGGTAAATAACTAATTTAATATAATAAATTAATAATTACACTTGTCATCATATAAAAACATAAAACATTACAGGATTCATAATTATTAAGAAAACATACTTTGATTTGAACTCTAAAATGTGAGGCATATCAGCATTTATATGCAATCTAGATCCAAACAAACAATTACCAACTTGAAGCTAACCTGAAAATAAAAAGTAAAATAATATTGTCAGTAATTACTTTGAAGTTGAAATGATAATCTGTTGAAAAAAATCCTTACCACCCCAAATTTTGAGTTTGGCCAAACGTAGCAGTATGATAACCAGAGCAGTTTCATTATGATGTTTTGAAATGTAAGTATTCAGCTTCAGTGCAAAACTATCCCACAAAGCAACTGCAATTTTCGTACCACTAAAAATGCATGATGGTTATTAATTACTGAAAGATAAATATAAAAGTGGGAAAGTGTAATAATAAAAGAATGTGTACCTTAAATCCTGAGCAACCAGATTCATTAACCTTTTTTCTCTTCCATGCTCAACAATAACTCACACGGGATCAGTTAACGCAACTTCAGCAAGAAAATCTATGTGAGAAATGTAATAAATTAGTAATAATAATACAAATGTGTATTACATTAAAAATTTAAGTATATAAATAAGTTAAACTAATAAAATAACAACATACCAATGCAACAAGAGTGTCAAGGTGCCTAGCTAGCAAATCAGGGAAAGAGATAAAATGATAAGGATCTACCATATTAACAAAATAAGTGGATACACAAACTTTTGTGGTTTTATAGAAATTGATTTTATGTTTGTGAGGAACAAGCGTGTATTTGCCTTCATTGCTAGCCATAGCAAAATTAATGATCTCCCTAACAGCTCCTTCATTGAATAGAGATTCAAATAGAGGAATAAAATTTTTCTTTATTGTTGCTTGTATTCTACTGCCATGTAGGTGACAATGAAAGATAAGTGTAAACAAAAACGTAATAAAAAATAAAATTAATATCGTAGAAACATCCCATATTTTTCCTGCGACATATAAAAAGCAATTAGAATACCCTTTTATACAAAAATACATAAAATTTGAAGTAATAACATAAAATTTTGACAATCTAAATGATAAAGTGTGTAGAAACGTTACACAATTAATAATAAGAAGAATTCGACATACTTAATTGATTATTAAAATTAAGAAAACTATATAAAAATAATATTGAGTGAAGGGATCGAGAACTAAAATCAACAGACATACATAACAATTTGATAATCTAAAAAATAAAGTTTGTAGAAACAATACCTGTTGGTCAATTGAAGTCATGTCTAGGCTCACGACCATATTAGGATTGTTTATATAGGTCTGCTTCCAAAGCAAGATGACTCTAACACGTATGTTCCAAGACTCTTTGGATGCATCGATTTCAGCAAGCTTACCAAACACGACCTGATCTGCATTGTTAGTTGCCATGGAATACTATTATCTGCAATGAAAGAAGATACTTAGTTAGAGAGAAATTTGATTTGGAATGAAAAATCATAGAGACTATATTTATAGGAAATATATAAATTTGGTAATGCTGATATGGCATAAAGATTTTGGAATGTAATATCATTTCCATACTTAAGATATGTCTTATGCATGGTATGATATTGAAAATAATTTCAATATAAAATGTCAAATATAATTACAAAATTAGATAAAATCATACCTAATTTAAGATAATAATTACCATATAAAAAACTATAATTTTGAAAAGATTGTAGAATAACAAAAAAATATAATAAATATATAATATTTCAATAAATATGAAATATAATTACAAAAATAGATTTCATGATATTCAAGAAATAAGGTCTTTACTTTGTATTTTTCTATGTATATCTTCATTTGAATAAATTTATGTCCATATAACGAAATAATAGTGTAAAAAGATAGTACTCTAAATGTATTTTTGTTATCTTACATTACCATTTTATAACTTAATATTGGAGATGTGATTTGAACATTTATATTTAAACAAACAAAATGGGTTATTGCTCCTTTGATATTTTTTTATTGGTTTAGTTGATTGATGCTTGACGTTAAGATGTTTGTATAAGAAATAAATAATGCTAAGTGTGTTGATATTATGGGTAAAAGATACAAATAAATTGTTTATAACACCCATTATTCCAACCTAAAATAATATTGTGTATAACTTATTTTTTTTAATTTTCGTAAGAATGTGGATTGAAATAAAAACATGTAAGAATGTGGATTGCAATAAAAACATGGCCTATAAGTTTACTTCGTTAAAAAAGTTTAAACTATATTGCAACAAATAAAAAATATACACGAGAATACAGCTGTGATCGAAGTTGAAATTGACAAATATATGTGTAATGATGATTATGATAGTTAAACGAATGTGTCAAGCGATTAATTACATTTCCTAGTTTTAATATTAAGCAAATAAAAATTTATCGAACAACAAACATCATGTGAAATTGTAGTAGTTTGTCCAAAATCCAACAAAAACAAAAGCAAAAACATACCTCTCTCATGTATCATTTCTTGAAAATAAAAAACAAAAACAAAAAACCAAGATTATTTCTAACATACTTAGAAGCATTAGAGCGAATGGCAGAAGTTGAATATAACAAACATTTATATGTATGATTTATTATAATATGCTTCCATTGAGATGTTTCACCCTTTTCATTTTCATTTTCATCTCCAGATGTAAACTAAAGCCACAAATGAGACATTTATATAGATTTTAGGCAGATATGGATATAGATATGTTAACAACACATGGACCACATCCCTCCCCAACCCAAATAACCACAAATGTAGAACTCAACAGTACCAGGTTGTTTCCGACTCCACTGGGAAAGCCACTCACAATCTCTAGTCTCTGTAAATAATAACCATAATAAGATAAAATCTTAAGAACATATTAATAATAACAACCGAAATGACCCATTTACCCTTTCCATATAATCCTATTAACAATTTAAGTGATAGTAGTAAGAGTTGATGCTCACATTTTTTGCTGCCAGCACTGCCACACTCCAAAATAAAATTTAAGAAAATTGATTTGATTTAAGTTGGAATGTGTAACTTCATGGCATGATGATAAAGAAGAGGATCAAATGCCACATCAGAACAATCACGAATGACCTTCACACAACACAACACAGAAGAACAAAGTTCATACAAATACAAGGGTAAAGAATGTAAAAACTTGAAAGTAGAAGGGTTAAAAAAAATAAAAAAAAATATCATGCACTGCTCAGAGAAATCACACAAACTGATTGCCTTTCCATGTAGACTGCCCCCCTTGTTGGTCCTGTCTACGTCCTCTTGAACCAAGGTATGGAGTGGCAACTGTAAGTAACACAGAAATAAATAGTTCAAATTTCTCAATAATCTGTCAAGTCCAACCCATTAATCCCAACTGTAATCAAGATATTGGAGCTTTATCAAGGTTAAAAAGACACTCTATAGTTTATACACACTATCTCTAAATAAAATGCATAGTAGATATAATATAGATATGGAAAAGGAAAAGGAAAAGCTTACTCACCTTTTATTCCAACCCTGAAAACAGAAAGAAAGTAGTTAATTACTTAATGTGGTAATATGAAAACAATTTGATCTAAAAAGATTGTATCAAACTTACAAGGTAATGCACAAAGTATTTCCATTCATCCGAATCTAGGGAATTCAAAAGGGGGAAGAGAATCAGTTTCACAGAGCGCAGATGTCCTTACAGAAAAGAGATGGATGTACCGATTTCTGGTATCGATTTGATGATAACACATAGGATTGATTCAATAGGGTTACGTTTTTGGTATAGATTGAAGGAATGGATTAAGGTTTAGAACAAAAGAGATGGAAATCGGTATTGACAGACTCAAAACACCAAAAAAAAATTCAACTCCACGATGTGTATCTATGATCGAAAACCAAAAACAGAGATCAGAAAGGATGATCACTTAGCTTCTTGTAGGTGGTATTGACAGACTCGAGATAAAGGAGAGGCGTAGAATATATGCTTTGAGGGCCTCTGACGATGGTTGATTATTTGCAGAGAAAAGTGATGAATGAAATTGGGTATGAAACGTAAGAGTTAAGTTGCAATTTGAGGCGCTTGTTTATTGGATGATGATGTCATCAATAATGATCCAATGGTGGAGAAATAGAAGTGAAATAAAATGAATGGTCCCGATTTCTTCAATTTAGATTTTAACGTTCTCTTTTAATAATATTTATAGATTATGATTTTGGGATGAAAATTGCCTTCAAAAATAAGTTTTTTTTTTCTAGGGAATATGAGTTATTAAGGTAATTAACTTTTCGATATTTCGCATCTGAGTAACTATTTTTTATTTTGTATACGTCTAGGTAACATATTTATTGGTAGTGTTCACATATGATCATTATGACCTGCTATAGCAGGGTAAATCCTAAATGTGAACGCTTTCAACAAGTACGTTAGTTTAAAAAAAATAGTTACCAAAATATGAACAAAACAAAAAGTAAAAGTAAATTACACGAATGGTCCCTGTGGTTTGAGGGAATTTGTGTTTTTGGTCACTAACTTATTTTTTTTAACTTGAATGGTCCCTACTGTTTATTTTTGTTATCTATTTAGTCTCAAAATTGGTTTTAATTGGTTGGTCGAATCAGTAGACCGTAAACTCGAGACGAAAGTAATTCAACATGATCAATTTTATGGTAATTTATAGATCGGATTGAATTGAATGTCTACTTCGATAACCGAGTTGAACAACTTGACCGATCATGTTATCCGACAAGTCGAATGAAGACGGATGTAAACATATATGGAGCCCAAAATTGTCTCTCAAAAAGCGCCCTTGTTGAGTGAGAGAAGAGGGATTATAACATATATAGCCACTTATAAAATCGATCATGTTGAATCACTTTCGTCTTGAGTCTACGGTCTACTGATTCGACCAACCAATCCAAGGCAATTTTTAAAACATTTATTGGTATATTAATAAGGGCACAATAGTCTTTTTAGGTAAGATAGAGACCAAACGGGCAACAAAAACAAACAGTAGGGACCATCCAAGTTAAAAAAATAAGTTAGGGACAAAAAACACAAATTCTCCCAAACCACATAGACCATTTGTGTAATTTACTTTTACTTTTTTTTTTGTTCATATTTGAGTAACTATTTTTTTGTACACATCTAGGTAACGAACTTGTTGAAACCCGTTCACATCTAGGATTTAACCTGCTATAGCAGGTCATAATGGTCATATGCGAACACTTCCAACAAGTTTGTCACCTAGATATATACAAAAAAAATAAAAAAATAGTTACCCAAATGCGAACATATCGAAAAGTTAATTACATTAATAAGTCATATTCCATTTTTTTCTAATAGTACAACTCCTAACGATCATTTATGGATCCTCCATCGGAAAAAAATATATATAAAAATAATTGTAAAAATATTATTTTTATTGAAAGACCAAATTTTAAAAATCATATAAAAAATTTATATTTATTTAACATTTTATTTTTCAAAATTTTTTGACCAAAATTATAAAACAAAAACTCCCCCCCCCCCCCCCCCCCCCCCCTCTTCCAACCCCAACCCAAAGAAATAGAATGAAACATGGATCTCCTCTTCACTATGCTTCACCGAACCCATCAAAGTGTAATATCCTCTTCACTATACTTCGCCGAGCAAAGTGTCATTGACTTCACTAAAGACTCAAAGTTATTAAAGTTACTATTCATCATGTTACATTATCCATCCGTCCAAAAATATTATTAATATGATTGCTTTAAATGCGTGATTATTGATGTAAATGCATTTAGGCATTGGGGATTGGGTGCGGTAGAGAGTGCATTCTCTTGCCATCTCAGTTGTAATAGCGTTCCCCTTGTGGTTTCGGTGCAATAGAGATTGCAGTGTGGCTTTCCATGGTTGCACCTTCTTCTTCTTCTTCTTCTTCTTATTCTCTCTCTCTCTCTCTCTCTATATATATATATATATATATATATATATATATATATATATATATATATCCTTGGGTGTAGCAAATAATCACACTTTTGTGGTAAAAAATGATGTGACGCCTATGTAGCAGTGAAGAAAGTGTAGTTTCTGTAACACCACTTCCTACAACCGTAGAGTAAACTGCAGTTTTGTTGTTATGGTCATGTTGTTTACACCATTTTATAAGTTTAGCCATAGTTTTGAAAAATTGATGTAAATGATCCCATGTCTGCTATAATTACTTCCTGCAACAAGATTCTTAATGATAGAATTGTTGAAGAAATTTGAGATTAGGCTATGTTTGTAGATCAAATTAGATTATTTGGATGATGATTAAATCGTGTTTACCTTGAAAGCTATTTGTGCCCTATGTTTGTGCTCCATAAATATTTGTGTTGGATACAAATGATCACATACACTTCAATTCTTAGGTATGATAGTCTAGCATGATAGTTTGATCATCTAGACGTACAATTCAATTTATATCCCTGTTTTGAATAATGCACATATTTGGAATGCAACAAACCATATCTATTTGATGCCAAGCATTACCACACATACACAAAGGTAGATGAAGGAATCAACCGAGACATGAGGTTTGAGTTTGATATAAGGTGCAATACCATAACCTAGTGGTGAATAAGTCTCTTATCATAACCATAATTTTGTTAGATTGCTTACATAAGTAGTGACTCGTGAATGAAACGTCCAAAAAAAGTAATTTGTTTAGCTTCTTGTATCAAATATCAGTTATATATTATTATAGCATGTTATTTGAATATGAGGTATGTTTAAAGGAATGAGTAGCAAATATTGATTATAATTTCGATGTTTCGAGGATCGTGTGTGAAAACACTTTTCAAAATATATGATTTTGACTCTATTCTTGGAGGAAGTATACACACTTTTCAATATATATGATTTTGACCCTATTCTTGGAGGAATTATCATCAAAACCGGATTTAGGATAATCTAAGAACGTGTAATTTGAAATTAAGGCAAAATCCAAGATTTAGACACACAAGATACCTTGTTATGGTTGATATTGATTATTTAGAAATTAGTGTTTGGAAAGAAGTTGCAATATATTTGAATACCACATGCTTTGATGGACTACCGTTCTAAAATAAATACACTTAAAATTATTTTTTGCACAATAACTTTGATACTTTATGTATTTTTGTGACCGATGGTATATAAAGTTCATGCAAAGCACTCCATAAACATATTTTGGTAGTAAAAACTTTTAGTTTCAGTTTTAAATAAAAATATCAAAATCCAAAAACTAATTCAAATAGATTTTTAGAGTTTTTAGCTTTGATTTTTAGTATCTAATTTACATTTTTACTAAAAACAATTTTACAAAACACTTATATACAATTAAAAGTTACAACTTTGGATGACCCAAAATATAAGTTTAAGGGGTAGCATAACTTTTTCCCCTCCGTAATATATAATTGTATTTGGAAGTGGGTTTTCAAATCAACAAGGATAATGAGTTGTTGGCAGAAATTCTCGCTGGTGATGGAGGCACAAAGATTACTCAATGAATTTGTTAACCCTCAGGGGACTAGGTGAATCTCATAAAACTGAGTGGATTCATAGACTAAAAAACATACAACATGTGGACTTTATTGGAATTCAAGATTTCAACACTGTTTGACAATGCATAAATCAAAATCTGTTTGACAATGCATAAATCAAAATATGTGGTTTTGGCACCCCTGATAGGTATTTATTGGCTAAATTTAAATATTTGAAAGAAAATTTAAGACACTGGCGTAAGGTGGAAACAATTAAAAAGTATGGCTCTCAAATCTCTCAAAGACAATGTTGATAATCTAGAATTGAAGACTCAATCTTGCACTCTCTTGGATTCAAAAATCACATATAGGAGGGATGCTACACAAAAACTTATGGAACTTGAAATAACTGCTAAACTCGACCTTCAACAAAAGGCAAAAGTCAAATGGATATGTGACGGGGATGAAAACAATCAGTTCTTCCACGAGATATTGAAAAAAAAGCATCGCAAGAATAGGATTCATGGCATTGAAATAAACGGGAATTGGTCCTCGGACCCCAAATCCATAAAAAAAAAAGAGAGAGAGATCTTTGATTTTTTCATTACAAAATTTCATGATCCTTGGCCTTGTAGACCAAAACTGATTAGCCCCTTATTCAAGCAGTTTTCTTCTGATCATTGTACATTTCTTGAATCAAATATCTCCATCGATGAAATAAAAAGTGCTATTTGGGGATGTGGTGCTGAAAGGGATCCGGGGCCCGATGGATATACTTTTAAACTCATAAAAAAGAAGTGTGAAATCATGAAAGAATATATCTTCCATTACATTAAGGATTTTGATGTTACTGGTGTATTCTCCAAGGGATGCAACTCTTCATTTATTACACTTGTCCCTAAAGTAAATGACCCGGTTTCCCTTTGTGATTACAAGCCCATCAGCCTCATTGGTTGTCTTTACAAGATAGCCGCAAAAATTCTTACAAATCGATTAAAAAAAGTCATAGATAAAATTGTCAATGAAATACAATCAACTTACATCGAAGGAATAAACATTTAGGATGGGCCACTTGTGATGAACGAATTGATTACATGGGCGGAGAAAACAAAAAAACTCAACTTACTTATTTAAAGTTGATTTTAAAGAAGCTTTCGACTCGATAAACTGGAGCGACTTAGAACAAATGGTGTTCAGTTATGGAACAAATGGTGTTCAGTAGAAAATGGAGACATTGGATACACGGTTGTCTTTCCAGCTCTAGAGCTTCGATTTTAGTTAACAGATCACTAACGGATGAATTCCAAATGAAAAAGGGTGTGAGACAAGGCGATCCGTTATCACCATTTCTATTCATCTTGGGTATGGAAGGACTACATGTTGCGATGAATGGCGTGAGAGACAAAAATCTAATATATTAAATCAATCTCCTTCACTCCAAACCTGAGATATCTCACTTATTCTACGCAGATGATGCCATATTCATAGGAGAATGGAATCATGGCAACATTAGGAATCTCTCATGCATCCTAAAATGTTTTCAAATATTCTCTAGTTTAAAGGTCAACTTTCAAAAATCACGATTGTTTGGAACTTATATCACGTATCCTGACCTACAAATGATGGCTCAAACACTTGGGTTTCTTAAAATCTCCTTGCCATTTACCTATCTAGGAGTACATGTGGGTGCTAACATGCTACTAAAAAAGCACTGGAAACCGATAATAGAAAAATTCTAATCGACGTTATCTGATTAGAAGGTGAATACGTTGTATTTTGGCGGTAGACTTACATTGATTAAATCAATTTTGGAAAGTTTACCTACATACTACTTATCCCTATTCAAAGCACCTCAAGGAATCTTGGACGAATTGGAGAAATTAAGATGCAGATTTATATGGGGTGGTAGCGATGAAAAACAGAAAACACATTGGGTTGATTGACAAACGGTTGTTGCCGAAAAATTTTTTGGAAGGATTGGAGTGGGCACCCTGCAGGCTCAAAACATCGCTCTCTTAGTTAAGTGGTGGTGGAGATTGAAAAACGAATCAGGTCATTTATGGGTGGATGTTATAGAAAGTATTCATAACCTCCGATGCTAACCAGCCAATTATTTGTTTTGAAAAGATGCAAGTGGGGTATAGAGCAATATCTCTAAGGTAGTGAACAATCTGAATAATCATAATATTGATCCCAATTGTCTATTTTCTCTCATCCCAAGCTCCAATACCAAAATTATCTTATGGAAAGATATATGGTGTGGAAATACTACCATACAAACCCGTTTCCCCAATCTACGTAATCAAGAACCAGTGAAAAAAATGCACACTAATGGATTGCCTTCGTTGTAATGGTTTCATATGAATTAGAATAATATTACATCCAATGATTCATTCATTTCAGAATTAAATGAGTTATACGTCCTATTTAAATCGATCAACTTCTCTCAATCCTCTAAATTTGGTTTTCGATTCAATTTACATACATAGGGGATATATTAGGTAAAAATTATGCGCAAATTGGTGGACTCCAAACACAACCAGCGCATCGGACCTGTGATGAATTGGACAAAACTAATACCACTAAAAGTGAAATGCTTTGTGTGGTGGGCTGTATTGGAAAGAATACTTGTGGGAGAAACACTTACACACAGGGGCATTTTGGTCTCGCATCCAAATTGTCACTTATGTGAATCGGTACCTGAACCAACAAATCATATCCTGGTAGAATGTAATTTTCAAAGACGGTATTTCATTAGATTATTTGGTGGTGTGGAATACAAGATACACAATTTACAAAGGTGAGGGACATAATTGACTTTGCTGTGACTTGGGGAAACTGCCCTAGGAAAATACAAACCCTTAATGTGATCTTCTTCTCCACATTATGGAACATTTGGCTGGCATGCAATGACAAAATCTTCAAGATAATTAAAACCTCTTCAATAGAAATGGTGGATTTCATCATATCGCAATCTCTTGATTTTTAACGCCCCAATTCCCAGGTATTGATTTTTGATATAACAATTTTCTTGATTTCAAGGTCTACTCGATGAGTTGGTTGCCCGACTCGTCGAGTAGTAGCGGGTTGGTCGACGTGTTTAAATGACCTATTCGCCGAGTCCAATAAGGGACTCGACACGTAGGAGTTGGAGGATGAAACCTTAATTTCCGTGGTTTTGCACCTTATTTAAAAGATCATTGGCCTCCCCTTCACAGCCTCTTGATACCCCATAGCCCTTACTCGTGTGAGTGTGCTCCATTTGTTTGTCTTAAGCTTTGAAGAAGGATTTTTGGTGAGAAAAGCTTGGGGAACCAACAAATAGCAGCAAGGAAAGCATGGGAATCATAGACCTACCTCAGTTGGCATCCTTTGGAAGGTATTAAGTTGTTAGCTTGGCCTCATTTCATTCTAGATCTCTTTTGGGTGGATTTTAGGAAGCTTTTCTCGTGTTTGAGCTAAGATCTGAAGTTGGAACTTCAGATCTGAATTCTCTTGGGTCTCTAAGTCTATAAAGTTGTCAGCTTTGGCAAGTATGAACCTCCCCTCAAGTGTAGGACTTCTTTGCAAGCTTAGTTGTAGCACCTGATTCCTGGTACGTATTCCTTGTAACTAATATTTCTTAAATAATGCATTTTGCCTTGGACTTGGCGAGTTGAAGGACCAACTCGATGAGTAGAAGTGGGATGAGACACGGGGTCTAAGCTTTGGACTCGGCGAGTAGGCCCTGTTTGGGCAAAACCTTAACCCGCGTGTTTCCACCCTATTTAAACACTCTAACTCGGCCTCCCTTGTCCCTAATACTTCCAGAAGACCTGTAGAGCGAAACCCTAGCCCCTTTTTGTCCTTGTGAGTGATTTTGGCCTTGTGAAGGAAGTTTGAAGCTTAAGAGAAGAAGAAGGAGGTAGAAGAGTGCAAGGAGGGGAAGTAGATCTAACATCTACCCTGCAAGAGGTTTCCATTCAGGTAGAAAAGTCCCTACCTTGATCACAATTTATTAGATCCTTTTTTGTCCCTAATTGGTGGTTTTCAAGCCCTAAAACACCAAACTCCATGTGTTTGTGCTCTATGATCCGAAAGGACTTCAGATCTAGACCTTATGGACATCTTAGAAGTGTAAAGTCTTTATGGTTGAAGTGATTAAGGTCCTTATTGAGTGTATGACCTCATAAAGAGCTTGGAGTTGCCTTTTAGAGCTCATAGGGCCATCCATGCACGTAAAGTTTGCAACTTTACGTGATAAGCATGCCCTAGGAACATAGATCTATGGTTTGGAGGTGTTGCATGTCTCAGATTTGGTCAGCATGGGAAGTGGGTCGAAGGGACTCGGCGAGTCCCAAACTAGAACTCGGCGAGTTCTATGAAGATGGTCTTAGACTCGATGAGTCCCATGAAGATTGCCTGGAACTCGACGGGTTGTTCTTCAAACTCGGCGAGTCATTTGAACTATTACTGAGTAAGAGGGGTTTAGGTGTTGAAGGTCCAACCCTTCGTATCTGCATGCAGAATTAGCAATTTAACGTGTAGCAATAGTCCCAAAAACCCAAATCCTCATAAAGGATACTCTGGTGAGGATTTGGAAGCGAGTAGGAGATCTGCTCGTGGGGACTCGGTGAGTTGTTCTTGGACTCGACGAGTCGGATCGCGAGTCGGTTCTATCGTCCCAAGTAGTAAGTTAAGGGTGACTCAATGAGTGGGAAGAAGGACTTGTCAAGTAGGACCGCGTTAGTAGGAGAAGGACTCGGCGAGTCCAGTCAACTAGAAGTTGACTTTGACCAAGGAGTTGACCGTGGACCAGGGGTGGGTCAATCATCTGACCTAAGGGTATTTATGAGTGGCTAATCTATGTTTATGATTTATAGCCGGAGGATTACCGGTTCAGCAGTCAGGCGCTTAGCAAGCAGACTTAGCAACTACTTTTCGAGGTGAGTTACCTTCCAGTAGCAATGGGTATATGACCACAATGCCGACCCACCAGTAGGAATTGTATGATTAGATGATTGTCTTTCTGATATTCATCTAGGGTTGCTACTACCTGTGATATGTTTATGTGCTAGAATGATATGATGCTATGTGCTAGTAAAAGTAGGCGAGATAGTCCCCAGATTACCGGTCGATAGGGCCGAAGGGGCAGTCATGCCCAACCATGCTAGATAGATTATGTGATATGTGCTATGTGGTAGTAGTAGGTCTAAGGCCAAAATGAACCAAAGTTGCTACATGCATAATCTAGAAAGAGTAGCAGTGGGTCTAGATTATGCAGTAGCAGTGGGTCTACGGCCAAAATGAACCAAAGTTGCTACATGCATAATCTAGAAGGAGCAAAAAGGGTAAATTAGGAATATGGATAAAATCTATTAGAGAGAGAGAGAGAGAGAGATTAATAAATTGGTAAGATGATTTCATTTGTTAGTCATCTAGACTTTTGATATTTTGATATAGTGTGTGTTGGCTCTAAGCCTTGTGGTTGTGAGAGAGGGGTTACCCTAGAACAATCAATTGATTATGTTTATCTTCTAAGTATTATATCATTTTCTTCCTTATCATTCTTCTGTGTTCATTTACTTTCATTACAATCATAATTTTTATTCTTCATCATTGGTCCGACCTGCTACGACCTGCCTTTGTTCACCATGTTCGATATCAATGAGTTTCACAAAATGATGGCTCGTGAATGGGAAGAAGAAATAGCATACTGAAAAGCGATGTTGACTTGGATGAAGCAACAGGATCCTGAGTTTTTCTCTGATATTAGCAGTTTTCTAGATTCAATCATGACGTTACTAGATCCGTTGGTTGATAATGCTCCTAGGGATATGTCTTATGGAATTTCAGATTCCTCATGTACTTCTCCAGTTACCCATGTTCCTATAAGTGAGGGTTTTGTGTGCTTCTTCGGCCGCAATTCCACTCCGAATGCATCAGAGGTGGAGAGTTTTCCATGGGCAGTAAGAATAAGAAATTAGCAGAGTTAAATGACTCTGATACTTCTCTAGTCACTCCTAAACCGGTGATCGAGTGTTTCGAGTGTTTATCGGATGACAATTCCATCCCGAATCATTAGAGGTGGTGGAGAGCTTGCCAAGAACAGTGAAGAAGATTGATAACCAATAGCAGATTCAGAACACGAATCTCCACTTCTTGATTAACAGTACTTCTCCTAACTCTCTTGTTCATTGTCTCCAACTAAGTGTAATAGTATCTAGACAACATGGATGGAATTCGACATCTCCATTGGATTTGAGTGACGACAGTCATGATTGCCATGACACTGAGTTGGAACGGGATTCCAAAACACCACCACCATTTCTGATACCACCATCATCACTGCCACCACCACCATTGACGCTGGGAATTGACGTAAAGCATAGGGGACACAATGATGGAGTCCAAAAGGATCTCTTGGCAGAAAACGACTATGTTTAACAACTGTTTAGAATGGGGCTATCTAGGTTACTCTTCAAATGGGCTGAAAAATGACAATTGGGCTGCAATTGATTCATGGGGCTCACAATTGTTGAATAGAAAGGCAGACTTGGTTTTAACGAGCAAACAAAATATAAGCCCACTAGTTAATAAGGCCGTTGATCAACG